CACAAAACTACAGTTCCCAGAATTCCATAGCATTGAGCTATGGCAGTTGATGTGGTATCAAACTATTTTATTTCTGCAGTGTAGATAGGGCCCAAGAAGGCTCTCTTGTGTCCTCATTAGATGTGCCTGGGATGGTGGTAGGACTGAGAGAAAGCCTTTCCCCTCATATCTTACTACGGACAGGCTCATATAGGGTGATAAAAATTTTCAAATAGTTTAGTCCCAAACTGTGTAAGGCTTTAAAGGCCATAACCAACACTCTGAATTGTGCCCAGAAATGGACTGTGAGCCAGTGGAGCTGTTTCAGGAAGAGGTTTATATGATCCCTATAGTCTGTTCCAGACAGCAGCCTGGCTGAGGCATTTTTCCAATGAAGTTTCCAAACAGTTTCCTAAGGCAGTCCCATGCAGAGTGCATTAAGTAAACCAAGGGGGGAGGGGGTGCAGACTGCCAGAAATAGTGCAAATTGAGTCCACTTTAAGGGTTAGGATTAGTGCTAGGGAATCATGGGAATTGTTTGTTTTTTCTGAGACATTGAGCCTTCTCTGTCAGAGAGCTCTGGTGCCACAATAAAATACAGTTCCCGTGATTCCCTAACCCTAACCCTAAAAGTGGACTCAATTTGCACTATTTCTGGCAGTCTGCAACCCCCCCCCCCACCAAATAGGGTGTAATCAAGTCATGTGTCACCACAGCCAGATTTGACATCTCAAGAACAGGTGCAAGTGGTGCATCTGTTTTAGCTGTGCAAATGCACTCCTGCACACTACTGAAACCTGGGCATTGAGTTCAGGACCATACGCAAGTTGTGATCCTAAGATTTCAGGGGGAATGTAACCTCATCCAATACAGGCTGAATTCCTTGATCTGCCTTTTGAGTGATCAGGAGCAACTTTTTTTTGACTGAATTAAGTTTCAATTTGTCTGCCCTCATCCAGTTCATTACCAACAGCAGACATTGGTTTAATACAAAGACAGCTTCCTTGGAATCACATGAAAAGGAGACAGAATTGGGTGTCATCAGCATACAAGTGACATCCAGTTCCAAAACACCACCTTCTGAGTTCACCTCTCCAAGGACTGGAACCATTGCAGAACAGTGCCCCCAAGTTCAATCCAGAAAGGCAGTTCAAAACGATACCATAGTCAAATGGTACTGACAACTGTTGAAAGGTCTAGAACCAACAAGGACACATTCTTCTTTTTGTCTAGTTCCATGTGTAGGTCATCCACAAGGGGACCAGAGCCAGCTCTGGTCCATAGCCAAGCTTGAATCCATATTGAAATAGATCAAGATAACCTGTTTCATTCAGGACCCTCTGGTGCTGAGAGGCCATCATATGCTCCCCCCCAATAATAGTGGATAATAATAATAATAATAATAATAATAATAATAATAATAATAATAATAATAATTTATTTATATTTCCCGCCTCTCCCTATGGATGATTTTGGCAATCATCCAGTGTACTTGTGTTCAGGAAGAGAGTCATTTTTGTTTTGTTTTTTTAGTAGGGGCCACACCACAGTTTATTTTAGACAGGATCAATCTCTGCTTTGATGCAGTGAGGCATTCACTACTTGCTTCACCCATTCAGCTAGTCCTCTTCAGGCTTTTATAAGGGCTCATAAGGGAAGGAACGGACCATCTTAATCACTTCCCACCACTGCAAAGGCTCTGAGTCCCACTGAGTCTAAATCCCACTAGGTAGTGATCCATGACAATGGAACAATAGAAAGTTCATCCACACTCAGATCACCACCATCTCACTCAGCAGAGAAAACTAGGTCAACTGTGTACGCTACATTCTGGGGGGGGGGCAGTTATTATTTGGGACAGACCAATGGACATTATGGAGGACATGAAGACTTGGGCTGCTTCCAACAAAGTGGTCCCCTACCACAACAAGCCAAAACAGGAGGAATCCACCACCACCACCAAGACCAACTCAGCTTAAAAAGGAAGACTGTTGAGCCAAAACAGAATCCCTACTCTGTTCCAGCCACCCAACTTCAAATACAAACACTTAAACTCAGCAGACTGTGAGATAGGGCATCTGGTGAAGGAGATGGAATCAGGATACACCACTGCAACACCACCATGACCAGCCTCATCTCTGTGGCACTGAGAACCTTGGCACAAAAAGCTAGTGTGTGGGACAAACTCACCCACACACTGCTTCATCCAGCCAGGGTTCTGTAATTCAAGCCAGATTGGCATGCTTATCCAGGATAAAGTACTAGATCAGAGATGTTTTTCCATTCACCAACCTGGCAATTAGCAGCAGCATGATCATCCTAGGGATCCTGTTGCCAAGACTACAGAATGTTTTCCCATTGCCCCTAAAATCTAATCACTCCGAATGCAATGTATCAACTTTAATTTGATAACAAGTATACCAGTTTGCTCTAAAAGGTTTTCCTCCTCAGACTTATCAGGTGGCAACAGATGTTTAGTATACAAATGAATCCATATTACCACTAAATTTTCCTTGTTCTTCTAGTGAAGTATTTCATTGTGCAGAAGTTGGAAGACGCAACAAGAGGAGCAGTCATTTTACATCTGATCCTAACCAACAGTGGAAGTGGCAGAATCCTTAGGTGGGAATGATCATGTTCTCCTGGAGTTTGTTATACTGTTATATGTGGAAGGGGAAAGCCAAGTGTAGTCAGACACACATTCTAGACTAAAAAACCTGGTTTCAGTAAACTTAGGGAAATACTGGGTGTGATTCTGTGGTCAAGAATGTTAAAGGAGAAGGGAGTTAATGGTGGATGGATATTTCTTAAAAGTCAGATAATGAAGGCACAACTTCAAACAGTTCTTTGGAGGTTTTTAGATGGCCATAAGTTGGAGTGCTTTGATTGTGTGTTCCTGCATGGCAGGCCTTTGAACTGGATGGTCCTTGGCAGTCTCTTCTAACTCTATGATTCTATGATCCAGGAAGGATAATGACAACTGTGGCTATCAAGAAATGAAATTATATATCTGACTTAATTTTGAACAAAAGATGAAGAGAACAAGACTATAAACATTTTTTTAAATAAATTAAATGCAACTACAGGCACATTTTATATCTCCACAAAATGCTCAAATAGTCCAAGCCAGCCTTGTATGATACACACTAACTCTACCTTGCTATTTAATGAAAAGATTTCTGCATCAAACTAATTATTTTCCCAGACTGAAATATACACAAGTAGATGCAAAGCCTGAAGTCATAAAAGGTCACATAAAAAGAGCTTCCTGACATAGACTGTGCTTACAGACTTTGAGTCAGAAGTTACCATTTTGAACTATTGTGGTCTGGGAAGAAACACTATTAGCTGTTTTGTCTATGTATGTGTTTGCATTGTTTCTATTTTATGAGTCAATTATAAGTGACCTCTGAGTGAGGTTATACTCTCACCAAGCAGAATGG